CGGGAACGGGGAAAAGCGGCAAAAGTTCGATTTGCCGGCTTTGAAAGTTTTCCCTTTCCCCGCTTCATTTAGGAGCTATGCGGCTATGACTTCTTCCTTTTTTTTGGAACGGGGGGATTCTAGTGGTTCTTTATCATAGGCTAAATTGATTTTTTGTTTCGTCCTGGCCAAAAATAACGATAAATTGAGCAGATGTCACCGAGCTGTGGAGGAGCCGAGTAGCAGAACCAAAACTACTGCGGAGTTGAGTTGAATTATAGTTGAAGTTGATGTGTGGCTTTCAGTTACCTGTCCTGGCCTCGGTACCGACCGGAAGGTACTTTGGCTTTGGCATATCGTCGCCTAATTTGTGGAAAATTGAGATTTACGGCCGGATCGGCATTTCGGTTTGTCTAGCTCTTAAAGTCTGCCAAGTTGTCTGCCAAATTAAATGATTCAACGATGGGATTAAACCCTGCCGGAGGACAACAGAAAGCAGCAGCATATCTCGTTTAATTATGATTAATGACCGGCTAATGACTGTTTTCGCTCATCACACATCAGCAGCGACAAACTTGCAAATTCATTGAAATTTTCTGGAAAGCAGAAACCAATCAATACTCCGTTCAAATATTTAAATCCTAACATATTGCTGCTTAAAAAAAAGAAACGCAAACATAACGACAATTTCACGCTACAAATGTTTCGATTAAAAATTGCCATTCCATTTTTTCTTGTATTGTGCTGCCCAAGTCGTTAGGGGTTTGCCAATAAAGCAACCACACCCCACCACCACCCAACTTGCACCACCTCATCATCATAACCACCCCGCACCACAGCCATCACATGTGCAAAATGTGAGTAACGGAGAAAACAAAATACGGCGGATACTGAAGCGTAAAAAGCGAGGAACGAGTCCCCGGAATAGCCGGACTTTATTTGATATTTGCCGAAGAACGACAATGAATAATAACTACAAGGATTGCATATGCTAGCAAAAAAAAGGGCAATCAGGTTCAGGGTATCCACGAAGGGTTTACTTTTTAAAAAGTTATTCTTTTTTTCTACAAAGTGTCAGCTTTCAAGGGTAATTTTGAAAAAAGATACAAGTCTGGAATATGAGTTATATTTGAAGGAAGCTGTCAATATAGGCCAAAGGACATTTTCCACTAGTCTTCAGGAGAAATTAATTTGGAAATATATACCATAACTATTATAAAGCTTACCTTGTTTTACCCCACACCTGCCGCAAGCCAATTACTTAAAGCATCCTGCACAAAAATTGCAATAAAACTTTTGTAAATATTTCATACAGGAGACACAGCTCCCTTCCTGCCCATCCACGAATATCCTTTTATGCCCTTTCGTGTTGGTTTTTCTGTTTCTGTATTTATTTGCCATTTGCCAGAGACTTGTTTCATATTTATCAACGTCTGTGGCAAATAATTTTATTAACTTTGGCGCAAAACTTCAGCGATGCAGCGAGTACTGGGTTTGGGGTTGGGTGGCTTTTGGCCAGACAGACTGTGAACTGTTCGCGAAAAGTTGCAGTAGGTACAGTTTCCTTACCTTATTCCAAAGGGCAAGAATAAGGGCAGGGCCGGGACGGGCCGGGAAGGGTCAGACTTGGGAGCAGGGACAACTTTGCAATACTGCTGCCGCACCACTATCTGGAGCGCATATTTTATTATTATCCTTTCGCACAAATAAATATACTTTTGCGCAAATTACAAAAGAGCGCAACTAACTGGCGACTTTAAGTTGGAAAGGCAACTATATCTATGGGCCAACTCCATGGCTTCCATTTAGTGGACTGGGCGACAAAAAACTTTCGTCCAGATCTAATCAAAAATTCACTTAAAAAGTTTGCACTGCCAGTTGTGCGAGCCTGAATGACTTCAAGTGCAACCTTCGCAGCAGGAATTGTTGCAGTTCCTTTGTTGTAGACTCCGATCCGGTCGGCAGGACTTTCATGGCCGGCACTTAATGAAATCTTTCTAGGCCTGAGGAGGAGGTTTTAGTAAATAAAGTCAAACAAGTTGCCAAGGAATAAAAATAGCGAAACTGACAGTACGATTAACTTAACGAAACTGTTAAACCTCTATTTTTTCAGTTAAACTGCTTTCCTCTCCATTAAAAATCCACATTCCATTAAAGGACATTCCAAGCTTCCCGATTGAAGCACTTAACTGGGCTCAAGGCAAATCCTTAACCACAACAATGGCTCCACTTTGATTACGCTGAGTGGAATTATTCTGATGGCAGGACATTGCAGTGCAATGCAAATTGCTGCACAATCGACGACAATCGAGAATTGAAGGACAACGGCAAAAGCGTTTTAAATCCTTAAAATTTCACAGGGAGCGACACAAATGAAGTGTCAATTTTAATATCCCGAATGCAAAAATAAACCGGCAAATTGAGCAATCCGAGGAGGAGAGGGTGCAGACGCCTCCTGGGCACAACAATGGAGCACCACCCGGTTTTCCATCATTCGCCTCGGGAGTCCTGAGGCACAAATTGCATAAAAAATTCGTGCACTCTTAAAAAATTTTCAAGTGCAGTGCCAAAGTCACCGACTCCTGCCGGAGGAGGAGGCTGTCTGGCGAAATATTCCCTCATTTTTGTGCTTTTTCCTACGTCTTTTTTTTTTTAATTTGCACAAAATTGCAAATAACTTGCAATCAAGGTGCAAGGACTCAGGAAGTGGTGCAACAAGGATAAAGGAAGTAACTTTGGAGTCACAACAAAATGGCGATGGCCCGAGCTAAGTTTTATTTCGCTGGGAAACGTCTGGGAATCAATTTAAGTTAACTCGAGTCTATTGTTTCAACGCTGGCTGCCTGGCTCTTTAAGCTCTGTTATCCTTCCTGGCCCTCACTCTCCCCCTTTCCCACTCCCTCTCCAGTTGCAGAGAGTCCTGGGCTTTTGTCGTCAACTAAGGAATTTTTATGAGCTTCGTGGCTCTTCTGGCCGCCGTCTCGTCCTCTCCCATTGCTTCCCGACGACGTCGCGCCAACTTCAGTCCCGACTCCCGCTTGTTAATATTTCACCTAGATTGATACAACAAAAAATCGGATGCGGGTATACGGAAGATGGGGAGAGAGGAAAGGCGACATCCCGCCAAGTGGCTTCGTCCTGGCTGTGCTTTGAGCCCAGCTAGGAATTTCATTATGTACACCCCAAGCCAAAGGACAAAGACATGTTTTTAATAGTTTGGCATGTTTGTGCAGCCGGTTTTTTCCCCAAGACTAACCTTTCGGGGCTTAGTTTCCCCTTGTAGTTTCGATTGTGTGCAGTATGCGCCGAGTTTGGCCAGATTTTTTCGCATGCATTTTGAATAGTTGCATTTTTGAATAGTTTGCAGGTTGAACTGCAAAACAAAAGTTGAGTTAGCCCGTCAGCGGTTAATGGTTATTCATTATCCGTCATAAGAGAAACACGAAGAGGTGGAAAAGGTTTCATATTAGTAACTTAAAAATAAAATTAATGACAAGTTGTATATAGGCCTTTCCTCAAACTTACAACCACGTTTGTTAAAAATTCTGTGCAAGCTTCTATACCTGAAACCCATCCCCATATTGAATGCCATAAAAATCTGAAGAGACCTTATTTATGAACCCCATTTCTGGGCGTAACTCAATCGAAATTGAAACCTTGTTGCACATCTATTAAGAGCAAATGTCAAAATTAATTGGAACACGTGCGGGACGGGGTTCACTTGTTGGCCCCGTTTAACCCTTTACAGCCACATACATATCCACATCTAGTGATGTGCCGGCACATTAACTTTCGTTTTCGACTTTCCTTCGATTGGTTTTCTTCGTATGTGTGCTTGGAGTGTGTTTTTTTTTCTGAAATAGAGGGTGTGGCCGGGCGTCTGGCGGGTTTGCAGAGACTTTGGCAAAGTCATCGCATGATTACGTCGATTCCGGGACCGAGTAATCATGTGGTGTACACGCACAAGGGATTCCTCCCTGGAATCCTTGTGTTCCATCCTGTATCCCATTACCCCGAAAGCCAATAGACGGAGCCAAAGCAGGATCGGTGGCCTGAGCCGGACACAATTATCCGGGCAAAAGGGCTTTCAATTTCACTTGGTTAGCTGCAAGTAAACAGCTTTGCAGCTCCTCGTCCAGTCCGGTTTTGGTGGCGCTCAAGTCGAGCATGCAACCACCGAAAACGGCACGCCAACGCATCAAATCAACGAAAGTGCCCCGGCAATCGATGGGTGGGTATCGGTACTGGGTCTCCCAAATTTGCCCTCAAGCCCCAACTCATTTGACCACGGTTTGCACTTCATTGAGTCGGCCAAGAGCTAGAGCCAATACATATGGAAAAAATGGGAAAAAATTTAAACAAAAAGGCGTCTTTAAGATATTAATATTTATATTACTTTTCGATTCTTAAAGTGAAATAAAGTGTTTAGAAATTTTAATGAAACATCTATAGACATTTTATAGCTTTTCTCCAAGTGCAATAGTGCAATACTTCGAATTCTACTCATCATTTGCTTTATTTTCCATCCACTTGGCTTCATGGGGTTTATGAAAATGAAAATAGCCAAGAAATTCGAGAAGCCAACAAATTTTTTTGCCCTAGACCCGGCCGGCAATATTTTATACAGCTTTCTTTTGAAATTTCTGGACTAGTAATTGCACTTGTATGAGCTTAGTGGGGCATATGATGTGCCGGAGCTGGAGCACATTCCTCTCTGCGTTCCTCCCGGAAAACTGCATAGAATTGAGAACTCTCGCTTTTTCCTCTTCTTTTTTGCTTGATTTAATCGGAATACAAATCGCTTATCAACCCAGATGGAGGCGCTCAAAAACAACTAAGAAAAAAAAAAAATAAACTACAAAAAAACTATTTTATGGATAAAGCAATGAATACATTCGTTTGTAGATAAAAACCTTAAAGCAGCGGAAACTGTTAAAATCTCAGAAACTGTGATAAAGCAATATTTTGAAATAAACATTGTACGCATTAGACTATAAAACTTATCATTAAGACACTTTTGATAAAACAGACTTAGTTGTTTGTTTATTATAATATTGTATATCGTACTTGTTCAAAAGGCAGAAAATAAAATAGAGCTGGGAATAAGTGATAACAACAAACACTGATTAGCATTTTAGGAAACTTAAATTATAGAAATTTAGTTACAAATTCATTGCCGCCCAAACAAATCCGATGACAAAAAATATATTTCTCAGGGGAGTTAGACCCCAGGACCCATTGCATCTACCAGGCGACTGATCTTGCCATGAAATCATCGAGTCCACTCCATAGATCTTGGCTATGTTCTTCACGATTTCAATTTTCTCCTCGCTGATCTCCCGCTCCCGGGTTAGAAGCTTAAATAGGGGAATGGGCGATATGCTTCCATAGCCACAGATGAAAGCGACGTCGGCGTTGTCCGTGAACACCAGCTTGTAAGTTACAGACACCTTTTCGAAGTCCAGTTCAAAGATTCCATGTTGGGTGGAGTTGTTCCAAGAAAAGTCAACTGATTCGTTTGTGAATGATCTGCCTCCGTTAGTCGTATCGATATAGTTCAAGCCCAAGGTTAATTTATTATTTACGATTTCGTTGGGGACCGAGACATTAAGGCACTCCATAACCGCGACGTTGGGTACCCGGGCAGCTTCGTACCAATTCCCGGATAGCTACAATTCATAAATTAGTTTTATGAGGGCTTTGTAGACAAAGTCACTCACGGCTGTCAAGTTTAACTGGGTTCCAATGTTGTCGGCCTGGCAATTCCACGATTTTAAATTCCCCGGCAAGCTGGGAATCCTAAATCTGGCCCCCTCGACCTCCAGTGGATTTGTGGCGAGGCACATGGCGATCCAGAGCCCCAAGATAGTCGCCGGAACTTCCATATTTTTCGAACTGTTTGCGACGGCAACCACCAGACAACTAAACGCCGTTTTAATCGTCCAGTAGCTTTTGATTTTCTAATGACGAGCTTATCAGCAGCAATGGTGTTTTATTCAATGGATGGAAAATAAATACTTCCAGCTGTGAGTCATACTCCAACGTTCTCTATATCGCTTCGATATCTTTCTATCTTATCGTTGTTCCAATTTTTGCACGTGCAAAAATTTTTATATATGTTATTCAAAGACATCAATCTAGAATCTAATCTACCAGCCTTTATATTTTGTGAAAAAGGGCAGAAATGTCTTTTATTTAAGAAGATATGGTGTTTTATTTTAACTTGCTTTTGTTACATAAAAATTTAAAAAAAAATATGATTATAAAATTTACGTTGATCAGTTCACTGAAGTTGCAATAATACTGGTTTTTATAGGTCTTTAATAATTGGTTTTCTTTTAAACAAGCTCGAAACTATTAAAGTTTATTTATCAAAAATGTAAGGGAAAGTATAAGAAATGTAAATGGAGCCAATCCTAGAGCTGCATTTTCGTTATCCTGAGCTGGGGTAGCGGTATAAGCTGGAGTAGTATCTAGATTTGTAGTTGAAGTAGTATCTAAAGCAGCAACTTGATTATTTTCATCTTCATTATTAGAATTTGAAGCAGTATTTTCTGAAGGTGGATTAGCTGAATCAGAAGAATCTACAGCAGCAACTGGATTATTTTGATCTTCATTATTAGAATTTGAAGCAGTATTTTCTGAAGGAGGATTAGCTGAACCAGAAGAAATGGCCTCCCTCCTCACAATGGAAGCTTCATTAACCTGACAAGATTTTTTAAAAATTGTTATTAGTCCAAATTTGTTATGCCTTACTCACTTACCGATTTAGCATGGACTTTTGATAAATTTAAGGACAACCATAGAAGAAGGAAGAGATTTAAAGAAAGTGACTTGGTATCCATTTTTGCTGGCTTTGTGTTGATTAGATTCTTCACAATGAAGACAGCACTGCTAGATGGCTTTCTTATAAACGATTGGATGGTAAATAAGTTTTGTCGTAATTATAATATTTTTTCAATATAGATTACAAGAATTTTTTACAACTTACGTTCTTTTCATAGGCGTTGCCTTTATTTGAGCAATTATTCAAGCGACATTATTCGCTTTATCTTATTTTCAGATTATAGAAACTGATATATCGACTTTTTCTTGCTCTCTAATAAGACATGAACCAACATATCATGTTTTAATTTTATCAATTTATCACTTTATTAGCGGTGAAATGGTCTATGTTGGATTTTTATCTGACCATTAAATAACATACGTATATGTATATGAGTGAGAAAAATCCATGCAGAAAAATAAGTCAATACCATAAAGAATCCAAACATAATAAAATATTGTATTTCAATTAAGCTCTTTTTCTACACTTTGATAAGAAAATGTGCAAAATGCCCTTGAAAACCGTTGATGAGCAATAATGACACAAGGTATCAGAACAAAACTCAAGAACAACACTTAATAAGTGAAAAAAATTATTAGAAGATATAAGATCATTGAAAAAGCATTTTCTATTTTATATTAACACGTTAAAGACAAGTTTAAAAATTACACAGTTGAGCACAGATTAAAAACTATTAAGAAAAAGTTACTTAGCTGTAAAGCAGAAAGTACATATGCTAATACGTTTAACGAGACCTTCGCCTTCGTATTTGTGCATCAAGCACGGCTGGCAGTCAGTTCCTAAAAATATAAAGAGCCAAATATCTTTGGATCATATACATATATTTAATAATGAACAACCAACCTGTATGCAAAGTACTGGTGAGGTGAGTGATATAGCTACTGGCGAGTCGAATAATTTCAATTTTAGAAAGTTTGCGATTCAAAGGATCTGTAGGAATCAAGCCTCGTAAGGCTTCATATGCGGCATTGACACTGGATTTAAGGAAATATATACATTTCATATGAAACTTATTAAGGGAAGTTAACCAACTCACCTTAAGGTCCTGTAGCGCTCCCTGGCATTGATTTTTTGTCGTGGTGGACGTCGTCTCTGGCTGTTGATGCTATTGATGTCCTGACCCGTGAAAGCCATCAATCCAGCACCCGTTTGAGAATCTTCCGAGTCCGGAGCTGTTCCGCTGCCACACCCACTGCTGCTGCTGTTCTCGTGGGCAATACCAGCCGGAAAATGAAGGGAAATGGATGAGGCGGCCATCTGAATGCAGCGACGATCGGCGAGTGAATGAGCTCCCGGGCTCTGAGTCGGTGGCCTGGTCCAGTCCCAGTCTCCGTCCCAGAACATTGCTCCTCTGCTAAATACATTAAGTCATCGCCAAGTGACGACAAATTGTGCGTGAAGATGGAAAACAACAAACGAGAACATTCCAACACGCTGCCGGAGCGCACTTGTCATAATAAAGCCGCTGGGCTCGTCCCATCTGTGGCGGACAGACGGCGGTATTTGTGCGATCAAAATTGGGCATCAAGTGCCTGTCAATGGGGCGGCCAAGGATAAGTGACCACTGGTCCAATTTCTGTGTGTTTGCATTTTCAAAAACGGAAGTATCACTTTGGACAATGACCTCCTCTCCTCAAAATCTGGACCGCACACATGCTAGTCATGCGTCCCAACTATGCGCCTCGTGCATTCACTCGTACATCTATTTACTTCTCCAGCCAAGCACTGATTTTTATGTAGAATTCGCTGAGATGGATAATGCAGATACTTATTTATAAACAAAATTGGAAGAGCAGGCAGCCAGAGAATAAGCAAATTAACCTAAATGGAACATGTATAGAGTCTTCTTAAATTTCCCAAAAATATTTTCAGTGGATAACCTTGGTAGCAATTTTATAGAAAAATGTCAAGTGAAAGAACAAGGAGAGTAAAAGTATTACATTAAAAATAAAACCAAAAACTTTATAATCCAATTTCTTTGGCTGAAAAGAAACCAAAAATCGCCTTGCGGACTCTGAAGAAAAGTCAAAAGTTTGGCGAACAATGAGAAGAGCTGCTTGTAAAAATCACATGAAATTCGATTGTCGCTTAAAGTGAAATTGCACAATGTTTGCAATGAAATGTTGTCGCAGTAAAATATCGCTGCATCTCGCTTGCAGTCCTGGATGCTATCCTGCATCCAGCAACTCGTCCAGTTTCCCAGCTCTCCCAATGCCAACATCCAGATCCAGGCATTGCTGAAATGACGAAGATAAAAACGCAATCAAACAGCAACAAAAAAACAAAAATGGCAACGGCATCTGTTTGTATTTGTGAGTGAGTGTGAGTAAATGCACTCGAGCACGCGCTTCCAAGGAAGTCCCTGTGATTATCCGCTCCGGAGACCTTCCATACCCTCGGATCAATCAATGAAAATAAAACATGTTTTACAAACCCTTTAACAAAGTAGCAATCAAATTTATTTCTAATCACCAAGTACTAATCAAAAGTAGTGGTACACCTCGAAATGACTCATTACGTATACGTTTCTTATGTACTTGTTGATAAAATACCGCTTTTCTTTGAAAATTAATTATAAGAATCAATAGAAAATGTGATTTTTGTTGATAATTTTTATTGCATAGAATCAGTATGAGTATAAGTCAACAAGAATTTTTATAGGATAAGAATAATATGTGGCTCCACAAGGTTGTTTTTTCTTTACAGAAATATTTCATAAAACTCTGATAGTAATTATTAAATAATATTTTTAAATATTCAGAAACCTTTATCGAATAGATCCAACTCAGTAGGACTCTCCTGGGTATCCTGGAAATGGATAACTGTGCTTCGGAATCGATTGCCGCTGCAGCTCTGCCAACTTAACTGTGTTAAAGAGTTGTCATTGTGTTGTTTGCAGAGTTGTCGTTCGTGCGTTGGACCTCGTATACCAGGATATGTGTGTGTGTGGCGGGTGGGGGGTGTTCTCTTTTGTAACTGTAAAGATATTGCAGTTGCAACGTGTTGAAGTGGCGCCTCGGTAAAATTGTGTCAAACTGTGATTGCATTTTTGTGACTGACATTCAATTGCTGTGGCTGTTTGGCTTTGGCAACTCTCACTATCTCTCCACTGGCCCTCCAACCCCACCACTTTGTCATGCCCCCTAGATGGGTGGCATTTTTTGCTAGGATGTGTGGGCATGGCTTGATTTAAGTTTTACAGCTTGTCAGGTTCCGATAGTTGTTATCACCTAGTTGTTGTAAAGATCATGTTTGTTTGTAAAATGCTGATGATTAACTAAATCTATTTTTATTTAAGACTTTAAATATCATTCAAAACCCCTAGTTAATTATCGAGTATCAGAGCAAAGCCCCTGCTAATTCAAGTGACAATCCCGCCACCCCAAATTGGCTAGAAATCCCAATAAAGACCCGAGTGCCACGCAATTATGTGAGCGACTTTTTAAAATCTCCCCAATGATGGAAGCCCCCCTACCACTGCCAGTAAAAACAACAGAAACACCATCCCATGCCCTCCACCGGTCCGGTGCACCTTGCCCCTTCCCCGGCCCGGACTCCGGATACTTGGGCTATGATTATTACTTATGATAATTCAACTTGACGGCGCAAAAAGAACTTGACACCACCACCGACCGAAAGGGAAAGCAAAATGCTGTCAAGACAACAAAAACAAGGGGGGCCGAAGGACGAGTGGGTTTTGGGTAAGGGGGACTGACAAAACAACCCCTGAGGGGTGGAAATGTGGGCAAGTGGGTTTTATGTTTCGCCAACTGCAATTGAGACTTCCTCCGCCAGCAGCGATTCCCTGGGCGAACATGAAAAACTCCAACTAAAATGAAACTGTTGCGTATTTTGCATTTGGGCCAGGAAGGACTCCGGTTCTGGTCCTCAACCTCATCGTTTATTGTTTTCCGTTTCCAGCCCGCTGTCTTTTTCTTGTTCCAGGGGAGCGAGTACGTCGCATTTGCACCTTCAATTAATATACTGGCAGTCTGGGCCCAACTTCAACCCTCGTCCTCCGGATCCTTGCTCTTTTTGTGATTTATGAGGGTGCGACGGCACAACAAAATTAAGCCAGCGGACGAACGACATTTGGCGTCAGCATCTTAGCCATCTCCTGCCCCTGACACTGCCACTGAGGTTTGAACTTTTAATTAAAAGTCACTTTTGATTTATAATTTGCAAGCGTTTTCAAGCTTTGCATAAACAAAGGGCAAGCGCTTGTCCGAAGATGACAGCTATCAAAGTGAAGGTAAGACCAGCCACGGTATATACGTTTATTGCTTACAAAGGTCCTTCATAAAATTTGACAAACAAATCTAATAAATATTTTATTCGTATAGTTTTATGCAGATTGATGAAAAATTCGAACACAAATCGTTAAAGACCTTCAAAAATTGGATACAAATCGCCAGAGATATGGCTGTCTCTAGGGTCCATATAGCCCTTGCAACAATTTTTCATCATTTTGAAGGGGATCCTCCAGAAAATTTGACAAAAAATCTAAAAAACATTTAGTCCTTGATTTTGATGCAGATTGGTGGAGAATGCGAATAAAAATCGTTAAAGACATTCCGTTTAAGAATCGGATAGAAATTGCCAGAGATATGGGGGTCTCTGGGGGCCATATAGCCCTTGCAACCATTTTTCATCATATTGAAGGGGATCCTCCAGAAAATTTGACAAAAAATCTAAAAAACATTTAGTCCTTGATTTTGATGCAGATTGGTGGAGAATGCGAATAAAAATCGTTAAAGACATTCCGTTTAAGAATCGGATAGAAATTGCCAGAGATATGGGGGTCTCTGGGGGCCATATAGCCCTTGCAACCATTTTTCATCATATTGAAGGGGATCCTCCAGAAAATTTGACAAAAAATCTAAAAAATATTTCGTTCTTAGATTTTGATGCAGATTGGTGGAGAATCCGAATAAAAATCGTTGAATACATTCCGTTTATGATTCGGATTCGGAAAGTGCCAGAGATAAGGCTGTCTCTGGGGGCCATATAGACCTTGCAATATTTTGAAGGGAATCCTCAAGAAAATTTGACAAAAAATCTGTCACCAAATTATTCCTGCACATTTTTCAATATTTTGAATTTTGAATATTATTAGAGAAAGTTTATTTGCTTATAATTTTATTTATGGTAAGTTCATCCATTGTTCAGCTTTAGAAATTTAAAGTATAAACTTACTGGGAGAAGCAATCTCCTCTGAACTGAACGAAATGTAATTTAATATTTATGAAAATGCAATAGCTGCTGTATTATTTTCCTGTGGCAACAAAAGTTTATTAGATTTGCAATTCTCAGCAAATAAATGCCGTATAGCTTTGTGCCCAAGAAATGCGTAAAAAAGGAAATCCACCACGCATATTGGTTGCCCTGACAATCGGGCGTTTGTTGCCATATTGTCGCAGCCGCACGTGACGCCCAGAAGGATATAAATGACTGCAGGATGCGAGAGGGGTGAAGTCTAGTGACGCGTGTCCTGTGCATAATCGGGATTTGCATGCATCAACTGAAACGGTAGTGGTATTGTGTCCCAAGGAAATACATCATCAAAAGAAGCTGGACGAGACCTGTCTGCTAAGTTCTAGACCAGCCTTAAGATTACACACTAAAAAAAATATACATCAAAAAAAAATTTTTAAATCTTTCATTTCATAGTGTATATATTGATTTGAAGAAACCTTTTTAATTAAGATAAGCAATTAAATAAAGAAAAATGATACAATTAAACTAAAATTGTTTGTTGTGTAGTGGGAAGCCACCACCATTTTGAGGATGCGCTGCAGGTCCTTTGATGCGTGAACTGTTTGCGGCAAATAAAGTGAAAGAACGCAAAGGACTCATCCTCCTGTGACAGCTGGCAACCAACCTTGACAACCGAAAGTTGCATGCGCTGCACATTGCCCCTTAACCAAACGCCAACGCGTGTCCTTCTAATAAGCCTAATGCATGGGAAAGTCCTAGGAAGGAGTCATCGGAGAGGAGCAGAAACGGGCAGGAGGTTACACCAGATAGCTGACAATATTGGTAATATTTTAAAGTGGACACGGACACACGACCCAGCCGACGTTTGTTGTCATAAAGAGACCTTTAATTAAATTCATATTTGGACGCACAACACTGCTGATTTATGGCCGAGGGGAGTGTCCTCAGAGGGAATGGGAGTGACGCGTGTCCTGAGTCATTGAAAAACAATCATGGGAGTCATAATTGTTTATATAGCCTTGCATTAATCTAATTGGATTGCCAAGGGAAGTGTCTCCCAATATTTTTAAGTTAAGACTCCTTAAAATCAT